TATTTTTAATAGAATTAATAATATTTTATCTGCATCTCTTATTTTCAAACAACTTTCAACTTAATCTTCAAATCCTATTATTTTTTTTCCTTCTTATAATACTAATCCTGCTCCAACTACTCTTATTCTTCATTCTTAATATATGCTTCCTCTTTACTATTAATATTTACTAACATATTTTATTCTAAATTTGAAACATTAAACTTTTCTAATATTTTATATGATGACAAGATAATAAATTTTAAATTTGATACATTTAATGTTGAGAAAAAACAGTTTTTAAGATTTTAGCAATGAATTCCAAGAAAATATTTGTGTATTCATTGTAGTGCTACCTTCCATATCAATTATATGTTTCAAATTCAAATAACCAAGAAATTTACAAGAACATCTATGCTTTAGGTTACAAGAAAAAAATTGAGGTTGACTATACATTTTCAATTATAGAAATTTATTAACGATTTGAAAAAGGGAAATATTTCTTTTTTTGATTAGTAATAATCTGTTCAGGTGAGACTATCCCAAATTAGGTAAAAATTCTGATATAGTTACACAAGCATAAAATTTTTTTTTTATAGGTTTTACGACACATTTTTAGGGCTTCGGGTAACCTATCCCTTTTAACAAACGTGACAAATCGAACTAAGTGAACTTGAAGTTTTCGCACTACATTTTAACAAAAGCAGTTGATTCAAGTTAATTCAGTTAATCTTAGTTTAATTTACTTAACAACAAATATGTCTAAAATTAAGAAGTGTATGGAATGTAAAACTACTAAATCCTATCAGTTTCATTCATTAGCAGGAAATAAATGGGAAGAAACTGCAGCTAATAGTTTGATCAAGGCAACCTGGGTAAAAGGTAACAAATTATGCCACACATGTTATATGAATTTTGTAGAGAATCAGTTAAGAAAAGCCAACGGGTGAAAGTCTCGATTGAAGAAGTCGAAGTCAGTGAAGTTGTAGCTGAGCCTGTAGCAAATGTAGCCGTAGGCGGTGTAGAAGTAATTGATATAGAAGACATAATTAGAAAAGAAATAGAAGCTAAAATTAAAGAAAGCATAGAATTGGAAGACATGGAAACTATAATGAAAGAGGAAGTTGAGGCCATAAATGATGAGGAAGGTATGATTAATCTTGTTGGAGTTATCAGGGTGATGTCAAGAATTTTTTATAAAAGAGAATATGTGCAAAAAGAAGGACCTATATATTCTTTTGATGAAATGCGAGAATTACTAACACAAACTGATCCAAGCTTAAAGGATTTTTTTAATCAGCTTTATTTATTAGCTTGGCCATTTGAACGTTGTGAGAAAACAATAGGGCATATGAAAAAATTGATGGTGTTTTTATGTTATCTTCTAGTGTCGTTAAATAATTCTAAAATTAATTCTTTTAAGTTTGATTTGGCATATTATTTAGATTCTGTAGGTACAAGCCATGAAGGTCTGAATACTCTAGCAAATCTTGGAATAACTACAACTGCAAGAGCAGTAGATTATAGAAAGAAACAAATTTCAAAGGCGTATGAAGAATATATAGAGAAAGTTCTTAAGAATCGTTCCGAAAATGCTTTCGTATTGAATATTGATGATTATCATAATATTCATATTAACTGACAACCTGATACTACCAGCACATCTTGGGCAGCATACATGGCAACAATTATTGTGAATCCATGCCCCACATCAGCTATATCACAGAATGGGGCACTCAACCCAAAAGTCGTTGATGATGAGCTAATTATGAAGCATCTCGACGAACGATTTATTGTAAATCTTGAAATTTCTTACTATGATTGTAGACAAAAATATATAGGTAAGTGTTCTGATAATAAGCTTATGGAAAGACTAACATTGCACAGGTATGATAACAAATTAGAAGAAAAAAAGAAGAGCAACAGGCATATACAGAATGCCATTCTTTTCGATTTCGTCGAAAGCCACTTGAAGAGTGTTGAAGATTATACGAAAGCTCTCTAAATCGTGTATAATCAAAACCCGATACAAGAATATCTTTCTAATAACGTAGTTTTAATTGTTGCTAACTGGCCTGGGTAGTTCTTTATTTGCAAGGCTATTGCACATCAGCTTCTTCTTAACAACGAAATAATCCCTTCATGTATTACGGCATTTATACTTATGATGGGACCTCTTCATGTTTCCTTAAACAGTCGTGAGATTGTTTTTAAGAAGAATTGGTTTTTATTTAACGAAGTCTATAAAGGTATATTCGGACAAAAAAAGGAACTTGGTAAAAAGCCACAGCCATGGCAAATTGATTTAATGCTTCACATTATACACATGGCATGGCTTGATATTTCTGATTTGGTTTATTCAAAATTTGGTTGTACTTGTAAGAATATTGAATTCTTATATCTAACCAATCTTTTGAGTAATTTAATCTCTTTAGTTCTTGAAGTTTACGTGGTACACCATCAAGAGGGTAACTGGCCAGCTTACGAAGAGGCTTGTATGCGCTGTTGGAGGATTTTTTCTTTCAATTTGACTGAAGGAATTATAAGCGTACACCTTTAATGTTTTTCTCTGATGTTTTTTACTAGATGAAAGAAAATTATCCCATGTTCGAAATGGTTACTAATAATCTTTCTTCTTTAAGCGATTGTCCTATAGAGCTTGTTCACAGTATAATTCAATGACGTACAACTAAGTTTTCCGAGGCGAATCAATTGCAAAAAGAGGCATGCTTTATTTTTCAACACTGGGAAGACAATGCTTTTCGACAATATTTTGTGAATTCAATTAAATATCCTTATTCTCCTAAGCAATTGCATACACTTTATCAAAAGTGTACTACAATACTCCTAAACACGTTTAAGAAGATATATCGAGGATGCTATCTATATTCTTCTATTATTAGTTCATCAGACAATATTAACACTTATAATTTGCCTTCTTTAAATTATGAAATAACAGATCGCCATTTACCAAGAGGATTTGTTATGTCAAGAAAGCCTTTTACAACTGTCTTATGCGATTACATGCATTGCGACCACACCAATTGTTCTAACTACTCAGATAATAGAAAAGTTCTTTCATGTGGGCATGGTTATCATGATTATTGTTTAGAAAAATGTAATTTAAAATGTTTGATTTGTTTTGATTATCTTCGGGGTGAGGTTTCAAAAAATATTAATGCTTTATAGATAAGTATGAGGAAAAAGTTGGGTGAAAATGAATTTATAGAAGAAGATTTTGAGGGTGTAGTTGAGGATGATTTGGATAATTCCAAAACAACAATCGACGATGCAGCAACAATAGAGAATTTAGAAAATGCAAAAAAATCTTTTTTGAGTTGTAGTGTTTTTTTTATTAAAAAAAAATTATGTAATTATCTTTTTTATTAAATAAATATTTTAATATCAAAAAAATACATTCGTCTTTAAGAAAAAAAAAGTTGCGGTTTTTTTAATTGAGTGCAGTATTTAAAAATTGTAAGTTTTTTTGGGTGTGCGCAATATTTGAAAAAATCAAAAGTTTTTTGGTGTGCGCAGTATTTAAGCTTTTTTTTTAATAATCAATAAATCGCATAATTTACAAATTCTTATCGCATAATTAAGTATTTAAGTTTTTTTTTTTAATAATCAGTAAATCAAATACAAATTTTGTATATACCGCACGCATAATTTACAAATTCTTATCGCATAATTATTATTCTTATCGCATAATTATTAAGTATTTAAGTTTTTTTTTTTTTAATAATCATCAGTAAATCGAATATTTTGTATATACCGCACGCATAATTTACAAATTCTTATCGCAAATTTTTAATATTCTTATTATCAAAAACTTGCGAATTTCATAGGTCGGGTATAGTATTGTAAAACATATAAAAAAAAATTGTTTATTAGTTGTGTAACAATCAGGTGACTCAGGTCATTATTTCCATATTGGGGACGGTCTCACCTGAAAATAATCTGTCGACATCATGCCGGGCACAATTAGGCATTACGTCAGGCACTATTGGCTGAAATCTGTTACAGGTTAATTATCTGCCTGACCCTATCATGGTGGCATAAAAATTGACCCCAATTATACGTATGACATCAATTATACCATCAGTTAAATGCCTAGCGTGCGGACATGTTTGCTTGCAGAAACCCACATACCTGGTATACAGCACATAAAAAAATTATTTTACCATCCCGGATCATTCCGCTAGTAAATGTTACGATTAAATTTTTTATGTGCTGCGCGTGGGATTAGTTGTGTAACCTCGACGGTTCCTCCTGTTGTAAACAAGTATATACTCTAAAATCAGATGCCGAATTACCGTTACTAATTGATTGGAGTTTGTACTGTTTTTTTTTTTTTTGTGTTCAACGTTTCTCTCCTTTTCATTTACCTAAGCCCAAAATAATTGATGCTAACCAATTAATCAACTTTGAGCGATCTAAAGCTTATTTAAATATTTATTTAAAAAGACCTTAAGTGTTTCTTTTGCACAAATGACATTTATATATAGATAAGAATTGCTAAAAGAAAACAAGATTTCGAGGTTAGTTTTTCAAGGCTAAGCCTAAAGCATAATTTACTTTTAATAACACTCAAATACAAATAAAAATTTTAATGAACTTGACACATTTTTTTTTATATAAGCCATGTTCTGTGTTTCCAAAATATTAGGAGCTTCGAATTTCGCCGGGGATTTCGCCTTTCATCTTTCGTCGGATTTAGGTTTCGTCTTTTACCAATAATACAGTATAATAAAATAAAAACATGTTTGATCAAATGCATCAAAAACGTAGTTTTTGCATAATTCTCTACTACGCTACTACCATATTTCATACTATTAATGATGTGAAATATGCATGTTGCTTTACTTGGTTCGAGTGTATAATCAAAAATTATACAATATAATCACGATAAATCTTAGTGGCTGTTTCACATCCAATAACTGTATATTATTGGATAGAATGTTTGAAATAAACATTATAAAAAAGATAGATTCTTTTTAATAAATATTCTTATTAAGAAAATGATTATTTTAGCGTACTCTAAATTTAGAGTTACATTATTTGCTCTTGAAGTATTGTTATTATGTCATTTAGCTTCATCTCAATGGACAAAAATATTAAAACATGATAACTTTCCTGAGTATAAAGTTAAATTGAGAGAACCACATCTTTGTGATAAAACCGTTCAACAGGTTTATGTATGACTTTTATTTATAATAATAAACTTTTGATTCTTATTTAATACAAAATTTTTTTTGGAATATTAGTATTCAGGGTATATTGATGTTAAAGACACTAAACATTTATTCTTTTGGTTTTTCGAATCGAGAAGTAAACCTAAAGAAGATCCGATCACTCTTTGGGTATGTAAATGTTACAACTTACTGTATCTACACTTTTTAGATCATTAATTGAAAAACTCAAATTCTTTAAATAGCTTAACGGTGGTCCAGGGTATGATACATTTTAACTTTATTTATAACAATGTTGAGGATGTATATTTCTCAAATTAGGTAGTTGCGCGACATACAATTGGTGTTCATATGTTATAACATGTATTTTTTTTTTAAAAAAAAAACAAATTACTTGCACAAATATATATATATATATTGGACTATTTTTTTTTTTAAAGCAAGTCTTGCCTTATTCATTAGTATGGGTTTGGTCAACGTTTTTAAGAAATTTTAATTGCACATTAATCTAATTTTTTAAATAACAAAAATTTTTTTGCACATTTACATCTTGTGTAAACCAATTTTAAACCTTGAATAGGTTATATCACAAAATCGTGAATTTTTTACTTACACAAATCAATCCGACAAAGCAAAGAAACAAATGTTTAAATTTATTTTGATGCATTAAGTAAAACATGTTGGGAAGATGCTTTACCTAAAACATTTGTCTTAATAATAGTCTATACTGACAATGACATTAATGTTAATTTTAATTAAATTCATCTAATCATCCCATGATTTACTCATCCTCTATGACAGGTAACCTTATGTCAAGCAAGTTCTTGGTCGAAGAATTCTTTCGACCAAATTTGTAGATCGGAATAAGTAAAAAAAAAAATGGTAAAAATTGTAAGAAATTGAAAATTACGCAAAATTTTGCCAATATAACTACTGATTTTAAGCAAAAGTTTAAAGTTTTCGGAATGAAAATTTTGATATATTCTGGAGCCAAAGTTTTTAGGTTGGAAGTTCGGAATTTGCTTGACATAAGAATACTCCTTTGACCTTGTGATCACACATTGTCTCCCAACTATAAATGGCAGTGGTAAAAAATTAATAATTTAATCAACCAGAAAATTTTGAGTCATACATACATCCTCAAATTGTTATTTCATCATTACTGAAAATTTTAATTACATATAATAGGAGTTCTTCTATAAAGGGTTTATACTTTGGAGCCGGACCTTGCACTGTTAACCCAGGGGGAAATGATACAACATTTGATCCTAACTCATGGAATAACAACTCTAGTTTCATTTTCTTGGATCAAGTATTAAACGAATGAATTTTCTCTATTTTTAATACTATGTATTTTGTGTAATTATCAATAATACAAATTACAATATAAAATTATTTTATAGCCAACTAATACAGGATATTCTTATGGTGAATCTGTATCCAATACTTTCGTTGCTGCACATGATATATACGCATTTTTACAAATTTTTTTCCAAGAGTTTCGCCAATATGCTAATTTAGACTTCCATATTGCTGGTGAATCGTAAGATTGTTAAATGTTATTAACGTTGTTTAATATTGATATTATTGTCCAAGTAAATTACAATATAACTAAAATCATTTGAATTGTTATTAACAGGTATTCAGGACATTACATACCCGCCATAGCCTCAATTATAAACAATTATAATCATGTCTATAATGCGAAGGATATTATTCATATCAATCTCAAATCCATCTTGATGGGAAATGCTTTAGTAAACATTTTAATACAACATAAATATTTACCAGTCATGGGCTGTAATTCATCTTATGGACCAATATTAGCTGATTCCACATGTAAACAGATGAGAAGAGATTATATTCAATGTGCTAAATTGACAAAAACTTGTTATGATTCAAAAAATGTAACAATTTGCGTAACTGCTGAAAATTGTTTTAGTGGAATGTTCCAACCTTTTAGAGATATTGTAAATGCTTTTGATATAAGAGATCAATGTAATGAAGGAAATCCTGATTTATGTTATCCAGAGCTCCAAGATATCTCGAAATATTGTAATCGTGAAGATATTAAGACTGAATTGGGTGTTAATCCTTCAATTGTCTTTCAACCTAGTAACTTTACTATTTCTGATAATTTTTTTAATTCTGGTGATGCGTAAGTATTCCGAATTAATCAATTAGCATAAGTGATTTAATCTTGTCATTAAAGCTTCAATAATGATATGCACAGTATATCTTTTTTTAATTTAAGATACGTCGTTTCGATATATATATTCCACCGCTCTTGGAAAATAATATTCGAGTATTAGTATACGCTGGTAATTTTATAAATAAAATGTTTATTTTAAAAATTTATTTTACTATTTAATTTATCATAATCATAAATTATTTTTATAGGCGATGCTGACGTTATTTGTAATTGGTTTGGTAAGCATTTATATATATTTTATAAAAACGTCTTGTAACCCTTTTATAAGTGAACTGCTCCAATAATGAATTGTTCTTTTAAACCTATCATATTGATTATAACAAAAAAACCTAGTTTTGAGCTTTATTGTATCAAATTTTAATAATAACCATTCTTATTTAGGTTGTGAAGCATGGACAAAAGACCTTAAATGGAGCGGTACCAAAGGTTTTAATAATGCTAATGTCACTCGTTGGATAACGAATACTGGCAATCATGCTGGAAATGTTAGAACATTTAAAGGATTTACATTCCTGAGAGTTTTTGAATCAGGGCATATGGTACCTCATGATCAGCCACGTGCAAGTTTAGATTTCTTTAATAAATGGATATTCAATAAAGATTTGTAAATAGGTATTGAATCCAATTATAATTTACTATTACATTATAACCACCTTGGCTATGTAAAGTTGGATATACCTAAAATAGCTATCACTGGCTTAATATTAAATTTTAATACTTTATTTCTCTATTTGTATGCCTATTTAATTTATAATTTTGCGGATTTATTTTTTCTAATGATTATTGTTACTGCCGAATAATATTTGAATTCACTATAAGAAGTATATTATGAAGCGCAAAAATGTATAATAGTTAAAAAGATTAACTCGCTCGAGATAGTAAATTCGAACAGCACATCCAAATAAATTTTCGTACTAACAAAAAGTTTCTTAATGAAATTTTGGTATAATTACAAAAGAAGAGCGGAGGAACACAAATTTATTTGCCTATTGCATATATTTTTCGTAGAGTCAAATTTGGCACATAAATTTAAAATTTCACTTATAGGTTTCACTTTGCTACACCCATGTGTGTGACATTTTAATAGATTATAATTTGAGGTGCTTAGTGTTCTTTAAAATAAATCTTGAATTTACTGTTTTTTAATAATAATGAAATATAAAGCGATATATAATCCCAATTATAACTCGTAATACCGATTTAATAGAAACTGGCTTTAGTCATCAGCCTAAAAATTTTTTTGATCAAAATTCAAGATGTGTAATAAGTCGTCCTCCTCTAAATTCACTCCTATATAATCACACACTCTTTATAAACATCATTTTCTTGAAAAATTATTGGCAATATACAGTTCGTTGTAACGTACTCAGTTATAGTTATAACGGAGTAATTCTCTGGAAGAATTTAAAATTATTATTATAATATAATATTGACACGGGGTACAGGGTCGGGAACGGCACTATAGGGACAAGCAGGAATGCGACGAATTGTCGCTTCGAATTCGTCGACGTCGCGTAACGTCGCTCAAGGCAGGTGAGGCGGATTCGATTTGGCACTGGTCTATGGCGGCCTTGAGAACGTTACCAGAGGAGTTAAAGGAGCGTAATAGTTTTTATTTATTTATTACTTTATTTTGACAGTTAGTAGTTTATTAATTAAAAACTTTATTTATTTTATAGGGCGGGTTACAAGTTACAAGGCAATTCGGTTTTTTAAGAGGCGGAAAGGTACTATATCTCATGTATATTTTACTATAGGGCGGGGAAGCACTCTTTATAGAACATTTTTTTGAGGGAGAAAGGGGAACTTGGGACACGGCTTTGACACCCTTTTTCTCATTGTCATAGACCGTTTTTCACTTTTTTACTAACACTCTTCCCTTTTTCCTACAATTCATCCGTCGTTACTTTAGCATCATCCCACAACGGCATACAATCCAACATATGACGAGACATTGACACGGCCACAGACTTTTCCTGTCAAGGTAATATTACCTTGACAGTTGTATTCCAAATCGGGCAGGTGGCTTTTTCTTCAATGGATCGGCGCCGTCACTCAATGAAGAGCTTGATTTGTCTTGGGTCGCGGGTATCGTGGTACGACGGTTTTCGTGGTGCAGATCGTGGGTCGTTACGCAACGTTTCCTCAAGGTCCTAGGGTCGAATCTACCCATAACAATATATAATGTTATAACGGATATTCATTATAATGGACAGAATTTCTCAGCCCGACCACTACGTTATAACAAGGGGGTGACTGTATTTAAACTTTATATAATCACATTACTATTAAAATTTATAGTTTCATCATTTTTATGTTAAAAATATAGCGCAATTATAGAGGATGATTATACTACAATTTAAAATTATTAAGTTAATGCTTTTCTAAGAGATATAGGTTGAAAAATCACATGACTGAGGTTTTAGAATTATCTTATTTAAAAATAAGGGAAAGTTTAAAAAAATCATATTTTCTGCTTTAGAATGTCTTAAAAAATTAATTAGATGTATCCGATGATAATTATGTAAACAAGTATATACTTTCAAAATAGGCTTTATAAATTACTATCCAAAAATAAATAAACATCACTTATTTTATTTAAAATCAGATGGCAACTCAGAAATTCCGAAATCCCCACCACACTCTTGATTTGTGTTTGTACTGATATATATATATTTGTGCTAAACAATTCTCTCCTCTTCATTTTGGCCAAGCCCAAATATTGATATTAACCAACTAAACAACTTTGAGCGACCTAAAGCATAGATAAATATTTATTAAAGAAAACTTTGGATGTTTCTTTTACACAAATAGATAAAAGTTGCTAAAAGAGAACGAGGTTTCAGGCATTGCTTTTCAAGGTTGAGCCCAAAGCATAATTTACTTCTAATGGCACTCAGATACAAATAAAAAACTTAACGTTTTTTTATTGCTTTTGTACTGTACAGCCCATTTTTCTATATAAGCCATATGCAAAATATATATTGTTATTCGGCAAATCGGCGAGTCTGCTATAGGATAACTTTCTCGTGATTGGTCAATCACATGAAATTGAATGGTGATTTATAATTGGTTAAACATTCGAACA